TGCATAGGCGGTCTGCTAGGTATTCAGTAAAGCGGCTAATGCATAGGAGCTGAACCTTTTGTTAAAACACCTTCAAATGCTTGGACCTATCGCCTTTCCGTTCTTTCGCCTTTCTTCCACCTGGGAATTAAGTTAACAGAAAACCAATGTCAGAGTGTGTAAGAAATTAAAAGTGAAACATTGTCACCTTGAACTTTTCTAAACACAACAAGAATGGCTTGGAATGTTTCTGAACTACAATACCACTAAATGGGCACGTTCAAATTATGAAACATTGTGAAACGATACATATACCTCAGGACCTTCGCAGGAAGATACGGAAAGCTGTTGGGGACTAGCTACAGGTGCAGGGTCCTACTGTGTGAATTGCATATACACCGTAAAGACAAGCGCGCCCCGGTGTAAACCATGATCGCACTCCAATGACTTGGTCTCTCGAAAAAGGATCCAAGTTGAGTCTATGTCTGTCTCAAGAGACTCCCGATTTCACTGCTCTACATGTAAAGGCAAGTATGCTTTAGAAGGCCGACTTGGGACCAACTCCGATTTGCCTGTTTCACTTCCCACCTCGGACGTTGAGAAAGCCCATTCATCCTTCCGCGTCGAAACCGCACACGCCAGTGTAGTAGGCGGTCTTAAACTTCCGCTCGTGGGATTGCAAGCAAGAGGTTACTGGCCTCGTTCAGCATGGTTTCAAGTATGCATATATATATATACAAATATAGGCAATACAAACAATGATTACATAACATATGAATACATATGATTACTCTATATTTAAAAGCTTGGCTAAAGCAACTTGTGTGTTGACTAGCATGAATGACCTATGAAACAAGCTTGCAGAACTGTTTGAAGAGTATTGAATCAAACAACAAATAGAGGTATATAAGTAGGTAGTTCGGGATATTATCTCTGTTCTCTAGAAGGACCTAGACTCACAGATTTCTGCATGTTTATCTTTGTGTCTGAGATTGCTCACACGCCTTCCAAACTCATTCTCCAACAGCCTCAGATTTGCTGACGGTGTGGGATGGAAAAAAGGATCTATAATCTGTACAAGGATGCGTTCACGGGTACCACAAGCTGAAAGTCCCAGTTGGCATTCATCCTTGTGTGGGTGTCCATGCGGGAACCTATTGAACCCAGTCCCCAGTCTCAAGAATTGTGGATTGGCTACCTACTAGCTCGAAAGACTATAGAAGGTACCAGAAACTTGCACAAAACAGTGAGATATATTGAGATACTTGTCTAAGAGAAACACCATTCAATAGACAAACCAATCATTTATGGCCAAAACCACCGCTTCATGCAGGAGTTCGATCCGTTTTAACGGAACACAGCTCCTTGCCCACGAGTCCATCAGCGTCTTGTTTCTTGCGTCCAGGTAAACCATGTCATGTGTTTTTTCTAACAAATGAACCCTAAGAAATGCGTACCGCGTCTTCAAAGGAGTGTTTGCTCTTGGAAGGCACTTGTTTAATTACTGTTGTAATACACACCCATGTTGTTTGCTTGATTTACAAAGGTTCGAGAGTAGTTTCACCCTGCTCATCAGCTGGAAGCTTGGTCTCCTCCAGGCAACCGTGCATAGCGCCCGCCGCTCACGCTGCTGTTATCCCCTGCTTCCATCATCATCGTCGCGAGCTGCCGCCCCGCGCGGGCACAGACCGGTGCACGGAGGGCCTGCTGCGCTGCCTGCGCTCCGTAGCGCTCCCGTGCCCAGATCATCTGAACGGCCAGGACTGCTGTGCTTTGATCCCAATACCTGAAATGGGAGATGTGCAGCTGCACATCACATCAAATAATGCTAGGGATTCACCACAGCCCACGCAGGTATTTGTGCTAAATCAACTGCAAAGGCGAAACCCATTACAGTTCCTGATAGCATTCAACCCCCTTAAACATGGTAACTGCGCCCCTAAGGGGCCGTGCGTTTTTAATGTGTTAATGTTTTTTTGAATGTATCGTTTGCTCGTTTTCCCACGTTTGTGTCGTTTTTGGACACACAGGTTGTTTGTGAGGAGGCTCAAGTGCTGAAAGGGTTGCTCGGAATGTCCGTTTTTAGAGGTTTCGCTACAGCTTTGAACAGTTTTGCATACAGCAGTTTTCTGGTCTAGTTTCGAATGACTCTTCTTACGTTTCCAAGCGAAGCGAATCAAAGCGATTCCTTGCCCAATAGAACCCCATCCCAGCCCCACCCCATCCCTGGCGTAGCATCAAGTGTGTTTGCACGTACTTGTACGTTCGTGACGTCAAAGCCACGAAAGCTAAAGACATGCAACGCCCGGCCCCTTCGGAGTGCAGTTAACATGAACTCTAAGCTTAGTTCACAGCCAGCCATGAACGCTGGACACTGACAAGTCACCCTGTATATTTGCCATGAATCTTCCACATGGGGTGCACAGGGTATGTAGATGGTCAATGAGACAGGCCTAGACCGTTCGATCGGGCCATTGAAACGACATCTGGGATTTCAATCGCCCACTCTAGCCTGCTGTCAAGGTATTTGCAAGATATCTGTGTGGTTGAAGTAGAAAGGTCTACATGGAACACGTCATCACAGCTTAAGCCTTTGTGTGCGATCTCGGTCCGGTGCGAGGGTGGCGCGACGGTGGCATCTTTCAGCCCAAGACGCATCACAAGGCTTAAGCTCTCATTGAGTGCCTTTGGGATTTGCTCCACCAATTGGTGCAGAAACTCCGAAGTCTTCGGTCCCTGCCACGGGCATAAGAGGATGGTGGCATGTTCCCACCAACGTGTGAGGTTACATGGTCAATCACAACCAGCTTGGCATGGTCAAATCATGGGCAATTCACCCTGAGTTCCAGGGAATTAGTCATCCAGGGGCTGTGGATAGTGGAACAGGGGGCACCCGACTTCCGATATCCTCCATTAATTAAGCGTTCCTTTGGTACCGGCTTGAGCCAGTAACACCGCCAAGTTAGGTGGACTCTTCCCCCAAACAAGGAGCCGAACCACTCCGACGGATATCTACCAGTGACGGTGCAAACCGGTAAGAGCTGGGTAGACTGGGCATTTATATAGTTCCGGAATCTTCTACAACACCATCCAGCATAGGAATGCAAATCTACTTCCCATCTTCCGAGATGGCTACCATGGTGGAACATGGTGGAACTATACCATGAACATCCATGAACTACCCATTCTGCTCATCAACAATAGTGTTCCATCCATGCAGGATGTCTTCAGTAGCTATGGCTCAGCTCGCATTTCTGAGTGCCCAGAGAGACCAAAAACCCAGAACAATGTCACCAGGGCAGTCTCTTAATCCTTTCCACACCAGGCTACGCAGGACTTGGGAATGAACTGGGTGTCCTTAGCTCGGCGGCAAAGGCCAAAAGCTGAAAAAGCACATACCAAACCAAAGAATCCCCGCGAATGTTCTCACTCAAATGGCACATCCTTGGATTGGAAACCCCATTTGAAGGGCCTGAGTCGCGAGGGCTGTGCGGTTTCGGTGTGGTTTTACTCCAAGCGATTGGCAGTGCGACGTAACTTGTCGTGAAGGGAGTCCAAACAAGCAAGTTGAACATGGAACTGGTTCCACTACTAACACCCTCACCAATGGTGTACTAAAGGCTAAAGGTGCAACTGACAGCAAAAGCACACGTAAAGAAAATAATGGGAACTACTCGCACATGCTTCATACAAGTGGGGATCTTTCAAATCTATAGAAAAGCCATGAAAGGCCGATGTTCAAAGGAACTGTCCAGGAAACAAGACCACGACACAAAACAAAACGCCTTGCGGAAACCGCATTTCAGGGGCGACCAAAGCTGTTCATCGAGAGGCATTCCGGTAGAAGGGCAAAGCGTACTGAAAGCTGTCGGTCGCCAGGACGATGGGCAAGCCAAAGGAGAAGATCGAATTGGCGGCCACCGGGTCGGCAAACAGATTCCACGCAGTGAATGGGGGGTTGCCGGTGAAGGAGGTGCCACCCGCCTGATGGAGAGTGTGTATAGTTCAAATCTCAAAAGAAACAGAACAGTTGACAAAGGCTTCGCTACAAGGGTATGGGACAAAGGATTCAAACAAAGGATTCAGTCTGCTCCCATCCAGGAATTGCACAATGCAAATCTGAATTGGTTCCAAAGATCTTGATCACATCTTGTTCAGTTCTTGCAGCCCTTCAGCAATTTTCCACATGCCCAGGTATGTGACCTTCTCCTGTACTTCAACACGCCAATGCAAACTCAACAAACTCTCAACACGTGGTGATCAGATGCTGCTGCTGCTGCTGGCAGTTCTCTTATTAAGTAATTACTCTACAAAGGGTTCTGAGAAGAGTTCTCTTTCTCTAGAGTGAGAAAAAACTTAGTGACGTAGTGACTTAAAGTATGGCCCGAGACTGTGGCTTTTCCGGCGTCAAAAACCCCAAATAACTGTGGTGAGAATGACGCACATCCCACAAAGATAGGCGTAAAGGGAACAAATGACACCGAAAACGATCAGGGACATCTTGACGCCAAAGCTGAGTCCGAACCCTGCTCCGAGACACAGAGTAGGGCCAAACCTGCTGCACTGGTGGTGGTGCATCTGGTGGATCCACCTGGCCACCGGAGAAGTAGATCTGCCTGATCTTCTGGCGGAGGAGTTTCTCATCCTCGAAAAGTCTTCCCCGCAAACTTACTAGCGATGCCCTCCAACCTACTAGCGATGGCCTCCAACACAATAGCATTTGATCCAATCGGTTTGCTACTGAGTTTCATTCTCAATAGATGTTTCTAGTGCTATACAGTCTGACGATGTCTGACGTCTGTTTGTTCCTGTCCTTCTGGAGTGCCTCCGCAAGGCTCGTCAAGGGTCCCAGGACGATGAGATCCACGGGGTGCTGTTGGCGGCGGAGGCTTCGAAGAAGCAGCTTGGAAGCATACCTCAATATTCACTGTACGTTCTACTTTGGAGTAGTTTGGAGGCCATCGCTAGCAGGTTGGAGGCCATTGCTATTACGAGTTGCTATTAGGTTCCTTAGATTTGGCGCGGTGCAATCACTAAGAGTGGATCGGTGCTGCAGCAATCACTAAAAGCGTGATGCGTGCATGCAATCTGGGTAACTTTGGCTCGAAGCATCTTGAGCCATACACGATATAAACTAAGGTATAATACGAGCATATATAATGTATTAATTGATATCGTATGATCTAGGAAGTCGACACCTCCAAATCCAAACACATTCTCTCCACCTATCCCTACCACGCCGACGCATCGAATTCTGCACAGGAAATTGTGGCCACAGATTCGACTTGCAGCGACTGGGCCGTACCAGGCTGGGATCTCTGGTTGAGGATGTTTGAGGACTGGACGAGTGGGTCAAAATTCATCCTACGCTTTCCCTGGTACGAACAAGTGTTGCGACTCAAGTTCCAACATATGTTTAGACCATGACACATGCTGCGAGTCAATGGCCTTGGCTAAGGCCAGGGCATTCTTGAACGGGAGCAGCGTTTCGCGGTTCTTGGGCATCCACTCCTGCAGCGTCATATGGATGATCCCATTTCTGAGCCGAGATGCATCCAGGAGGGCGGCCGCCAATTGAATGGCAATGGGACATAGCGGCTGAGGAGATTGTCGATACCAGACAAAAGCTGGGGCCTGCCATCCGAAAAATGACGCTTGTGGTGCCTCAAAAGATCTAGAAATGGCGACCACATGACTTGTGTCGGTAGCAACCGGAATCGTACTGTCCACACGCTCTTTTCACTGCGAAAGCGAGCACGGTATAGCTCAAGGGCCCTAGGAGCCAAACGGCGGCAGACACAACATAGTGTGACAACCTGGCTCAACAGAATGAGATCCTACCTCAAATTCACACTCAACCTGTTCTACAGGTGTCACACGGCTATACATTGAAACTCTTGTGTCTTCCTAAGGCATTGGAGAAATCTACTTCTGCTTCTGTACAGTGTAGTGGCACTCCTTCAGCACTCGAAGTAGCAGATCTGGCTTCATGGACTTCGTCAGACAGTCCGACACCATCGTACTGGTGGCGATCCAGATCAACTTGTCTCCTCCATTCTCGAAAGCAATCCATGTTGGTCTTCCTTCTTGCCACAAATTCTCATGGATTCCTTGCAACTCGATACCAAGGCGCTTGTCACTCACCTTGGCCAGGACTTCCTGATTGAGGTGGTCAGAAAGTGAACGGCAATCAGTCATCGCCAAATGCGGAATGCATTCACGGGCATCATCTTCCCATGTCTTCAGACTGCGAATCTTGCCCTTGATCTCCGCAATCACACCTCTCAGCTTGTCACCTGTCTCGAGTCCGTTCTGGAGGGAATACGTTTCGGCCTGGAGAGTGCTGCGGCAGACTCTCTTAATTGTCGTGGATCCAAAAGACAGTGGCATCACCTTATAGGTGGTCGTCTTGTCGTCCTTGATCTCCTTGAGATCACCCAGAAAATGGATCCTGCCCTGTTGCGACTTGTAGTTCTTCTCGTTGGAGAAGGAGGCATCTGTGACCGTGATCACACCAACTTCACTCCATTGGAGAAGAGCCGCAGGAAAACACAATGCCACATCGTGACCCTTGTGTGCCAGGACAACGACTGCGTTAGCGTCTGCCAACGTGGACACAGTTGCATCTTTAATGCTAGACTGCAAACGGCTTACCCTGTAACCAAGGTCAGGCCTGGTCTGTCTCGAGATCCAGGCGAGCGATCCGGTGATCGATCTGAGCTTCGTGATGTCTCCTTGCTGAAGACGCTCACTGCCTAGCCTAGACCCAACATCTGCTCCATGAATCTTCCTAGTGTTATCTGCTGTGTCGACTTTGATGACCTTGTCATCTCCTCGCACGAACTGCTTCCCACAATATCGAAAGCTGTTAGTGTCTGAGCTGCCGACACTGAACTTGGCAAGAAAAGACTTCATCACTTCCTCGCCTTCCGGAAGAAAACTATAAAGCAAGTCGTCCACGTGAGTGCACATGAGGGCACAAGCATCTCCTCCCTGCTCACCTGGGAGGTAGTACAATCCTGGGAAAAACTGGCTTGCCTTCAGGCCGCTCTTACGTGCATCGGCATCCAAACGCAACCAAAAGCCTCTTCCTGAGTCCGTGATCCCGTATACAGGGACCCTTACGAGAAAAAGGACATTGGGTTCTACACCTGGCAAACCTCCTCTTGGCTGACGCATGAGAAGGACTCGGTCCAGTGGTCGTCCTTGGAAATATGCCGAGGTAATATCAGCGGAATGAATGTCGGCCTGGTGGCACGCTGCCCAGCTGCAGACGAGGCAATGCATCTCTACATCAGCTGTTGGACTATCTGACCTCAAACCCTCTGTCATTTCAAAGTTCCCGCACGAAACTAGTCTGCTTTTATACATGGGCTTGTAGTCAGGGTCTCTCCCCTTCTTGTACTCTGCCTTGTCTACATCCACCCATTTGGATGGAATGCATTGGTGCCCTTCGTCAATGAGCTCTTGCGCTTGTTCTGGGGTCAATGCCACTACTGCTCCGAAATCTTCAAATTTGGACCATTCCTTTTGCCTTGTTTCCTGCAGGGCTTTCTGCACTTCTGGAGGCGCAGACTCATAGTGAATGCTCTTTAGAACCTTCTTACCTAGCTCTGCTTCATCCTCAGTCTGGGCAAGAAAACTAGTCCACATGGCATGTGCTTCTTCTCGATCTTGCTCTGGTAGCTCTCCGTCTCTCTGGCGTGCTCTCTCAAAATGTTCTCGTAGAGAAGCTGGCAAGTCGTTCAAATGATCATACACATTAGGCCATGCATGTGAAACACTCGTGGACTCCCTGCGGGATGGTTGCAATGAGGTACCGCGTTCACTCTCCGGTTCAGCGACACGGGGCCTCACATTGCGACTGTGCTCATTTCCTGTGTCAGGGAACGGACGTGAAACGGAGCTAGCGGACCTACTCAACTCTTCAAGCGCATCTTCACCTTCGGATTGGTCTTCATCAAAGAAATCCGGTCTGATCCCTACATCTAACTCATCATCTTCAGGAACAGGGGGTAGTGAACCAGCATCCGGAAATTGGGGTTCGGTTTCTTGAGATTCGATGTGTATTGGGGATTCGGGTTCGCTCGGATCTGCACGTGCATCAAGGAAAGACTGCTGAACACCTTCCTTGACAACGTTTTCGGGAAAAACAGGCTCACCATGCAAAACAGCATGAGCTAGTGCTTCGGTCGGAGTAGCAATCTTCACGTTTTGGTTGGCGACCAACACTGGAACATTTCCGCACAACAACCACAAATTCCTTCATGGCCTATCACCCGACTAGTGGGACTCCATGTGGCGCCTCCCTTTTGATTGTCTCGACGAAAGGTCACTAGATCACCTACTGCATACTCCCGAGGAGGACTGGAAGCATTGCGAGTAAGCGCACGAGACACCCTTGACGAACAATCTAGGTGAACAAATGCTTTCTGAGCTTCCTGCCTGGCCATGTGCTGTAAGGCGAAAATGCTCTCTGGGTTGTGACGGGCTTCAATAGCTCCAAGCTCGGCAAACCGTTCTTCAGACAATGGGCTCGGATCTGATCGGGGTCCTTTCCCAAGTACCCATTGACTAGGCGAAAAACCTCCGACTCTACTGGAGTTGTTCTTAGTAGCTACTACCTCGAGCAGTACCTGCTCAACCTGTTCTCTGCCAACAGCGCCTGTCTCTTTGCAAACCTTCCTAAAGAGTGACTTGACAATGCCTCCATGACGTTCTACACGACCAAGATTCTCCGGGCTTTCCAGAGGGGTGTGGTACACTTGGATACCATGTTCATCCATGTACTTCTTCATGACACCTCGGTTGTGCAGACCTCTGTCACATGCAATGTTCACAGGATGGCCACACCATGAGAACCAACGCTTCCTCAGTGCTTTCAGACATTCGGCAGAAGACGGTTGACCAGCACCAAAACGAACAACCTCACATAGCTGAAAAGTAGTACCCAAGCAAACCATGTTTAACACTTGGAACTTGTCACCGGAAATGTCGTGAACTTCAAACACATCAATTCCTACAGTGTGGTTGAACGAGTAGTTGTTAGGCAATGCTGTCTTGTGCGTGGCCTTCTTCTGGGATGTTGCTTCACAAGTTTCGCATCTGTGGATCCTGACAGCATCGATGAATTCCTTTCGAACCTTTGCTGCACGAAGGAGATGGATCATCGTCTGTTTGGGGACGTGTCCAAATTGCCTATGCAATCTTCTCACACCAATCCTCACACGTGCAGGCAACTTGCGCCACATCCGGCGTCGTTCGGCTTCATCTGCTGGCAGGCCTGGGATGTCTACTTCATCGACCAGTGTCTCTTCCGAGATCAGGTCTTCTACTGGGTTCACCTGAGCACGGTCATCATCATCCCAGATGGCATCGAACTGCTGTTCATCGTCCATCACCTCTTCCTGCAGTTCACCAACAAATGCAATAGACATCTCATCATCCAAAGTTGTATCATTGGTCCATTCACCTAACCAATCAACAAACTGCCAAGACAAGACATCATTCATGGTCTGCCCTCGAAACCACGATTCGAAAAGCTCAGTCCACTTGGGATCATTGCAGGTGAATGCCAAGTCATGGTCGTTGATATGGGGAATCTGTGGAAACTCATGTTCCTCCCATCTCGGGGTAGTTGCAACGTCAATGTGCAAAAACCGGCTACCACTCATGTCACAATGGGATTCTACTTCACCCAAAATCTTTCCATGTCTCAAAGAATCTGTACTCCGTTCATACTCGATGGCAATGACGATGTTCTTGTAGTCTTGCAAAACATCATACCAAATCTTGGAGTCCTCATCAGGATTGAGGTACTCAGCTCCCACACCGACGTCAAAAACGTCTGCAACACCATCTGCTGCTTGAAGCTCCTGAAAAATGCGGGGATGCGAAGTAATGACTAAGGTTGGAGGTTCAGAAACTGGGACGTCCTTCAGACCAATGCTGGATTTGACCATTGCATCTTGATGGTTCAATCGGTCAATGCCCTCCAAGACTGCCCTCCTATGCTTCTTACCCATGGTGGTTCTCTCATTGGGGTCAATTTGCAAAGGAATGGACAAGACTCCTGAACTACTTGGCTGTGCATTGGGATCTGGAGGGACTTCCGAATCGGTTTCATTGCTATCTTCCAAGTTGATCTCAACCTGTTCTCTCCTATCGAGGTCCCATGCCATGTGTGCTGCTGGCTCGTAACTTGCGGACTCTGTGGATACGGGACTGGTTGGCGATTGTGGCTCAGACTCTGGACGAACAGTTTGAGAAATAATGGACCCTTCTGGTGTTCTTGTGTCCTCGGAACCTGACGTCTTGGATGATTCCCTAAGTCTTCTTGGCTTTGGGGGAGTTGGCGGAACGGAAGAACGAACATCGATCTTTGGGGCCGAGGCCAAAACCAGGCTCTGCTGCAGCGCCATATATACCTGCGGGCTTCGATGGGTGAAACAGATCATATCGGACCAGGGCTCGGGGATGTTCGCCGAGGTCTGGATAGGCGCTCCGTTCTGGATGCGCTCCCAAACTGCTCCTGCCTCACGCCGTCTGGCGTAGACAGTCTTCAACCACCCCCACTTCGTCATCCAGCCGGCACGCGTGACTGCTGTCGTGTAAACGCCAGCTCGGATCTTGACGTCGACGCGGATGCCGTACCATTGTTGGTCCTTTGCAGGCAGATTGCGATTCACAAGCCACAAAGCACGGTCACGATTTCCCCAATCTGCAGCCGCGCCAGCTAGGGCGTGAAGAAGCTCTGGATCTACCTGGTCAACCTTCGGCTCACCATCATCTGTCAAAAGCGGCCATAGCTCATCCTCCAAGTCAACGCGTTGAGACTCATCATATCTCATCTTGTTCAAAAGCCTCGGTGGCGGGCCAGGAGGTGGAGGATGATCAGGCGTATGAGGGCTCAAAATCACTGGTGAAGTCGATGGGCTCTCTGGCTTCTTCGGAGCAGCTGCACTTTTTGCCTTTGTCGATCGAACTGGACTCCTCGACCTTGCTGGCCTGGTCCTTGGTGACCTCGGCCTAGGCTCGGCTGCACGCGACGTTCTCTTCCTCCTCAATGGGCTTCTGGATCTCGTGCTGCGGCTTGCAAAAGTCGTCACAACATCGGTCAACTTCTTAAGTGCTTGCAAGATCTCACGGTTGTCATTCGAATTTTCAACTGCCGGGTCTTCAGCAATCGTCTCTTCTTCACCACCTTCGACGTTCACGCCATCATCTTCAGCCTGCTCAACTACTCTGACGTCATCCTCATCTTCACTGTCATCATCAAACTCCGGTACCGGGCGAGCTGAGGCCGATGCGGCAGATGACCTCGGGGCCGTCTTCTTCTTGGGCTCCAACACTGGAGGCATAGCCTTTGGTGGAACTTCCAAGGTGCGCTCTTGTCGGATGAAGCTGTTCTTGCAGGGGCCGAAGGGACTGATCGAACGCTTGTGGTCTGGTTCGGGGTCAGGACGATTGGAGTTGAAGCGGCTTCCGGATGACCTGGACCACACAAACTGCACCTGCCTCCACAGCTCATCTGGGCCCACTCTGGACTGTGCTGGTGGATGATCTTGCAAGAAATGCCTTTGGCCTTCAAGTGTCTGTATATAATGATCGAACCACCAACGCTCCGATGCCTTCCACTCTTGCACTTCAAGTCGATCACACCACGGTCCTCCTCATCACAAAACCTGTCGACCTTTCGAAGAATCGTGTCCAGCGATCTCTTGCCTCGAAGAAGTCCTTGAACAATCTCAGGATGGCGGCCTACGTGGCCTCTCAGGCTCACGTTCTGCTCCGGATCATGAAAATCCTTCGCATTCACCTCCAAGATCGGGCACGAATTGCTTCGAAAGTTGATACGATCCGGAAACCTCTCGCCACCAGTAATAATCAAGAACTCTCGCGGTTGCAGGCTCGATACCATGGTGTCCAATGCCTTGCTGACTTCGGTCGCAGAATTGGCCTGAAAACCTCTCTCGCCATTCCATCCGCGTTCCATCGCGGGATACGCAGTGCGAAAACGTCTGTGGCACTTGGGGATCACTTGAAGTTCTGAGGTTTGTTGGAAATTCTGGATCAACTGTTGTGGGGTGACTGCCAACATCATGAGACCTGTGTGAACACATCGGTATACCTTGAGATGGTTACCATCTATGCTGACAATACCATTCTTGAGGTCTTTCACCAATCCTAAATGCGTTTGTGCATGAAGAGACAAAAGCAGCGGAGAATGACCTTTCGAAAGCTGGTGGGACTCAAGGATACCATGCACGGGTTTGCCTGTCTCGAAATGCAACGAAAATGGCAACGTGCGGGATCCCTCTGTGGTGGTTCCATTTTCACCTAAACCGGCAAAATTCTTTGATGTCGTGGTCGAAAAAGGGAAGTCGTATCCTAGCTTCTTCAACTTGGCCTCAACAACGTCTCCCCAGTGCTTCGAATGGCAGGTGGAATTACATCCCTCGTCGAGCACGATGTAGATGTTTCTGTCGTCTGGGTTGTACATGTCTCTGGATTCGTGAAAGATATGCACCAGACCGTCCGTCATGCGAGCAGGTTCCTCCCCATGAAAACAAATGCCGATCCCTGCAAAGGGGTCTGGATCTTCGGTGTAATCAATCATGGTGAACGAGTCTCCTTTGCTCTCTTCGATGGACAGGTGGAGGAGCTCGTGCAGCTTGATCGAAGTCACGGCCTCGGTTTCGGCTGCCAACGCGACTTGGGCGGCAAATTCAGTCAAAATCTTCTCTAGCATCTCGGGGGTGTGTCCTTCTTCGGGTTCCTCTTCAACCAAACGTTCAATCATTGGGATCCTATCGAGCGGTGCGTTGACGACTTTCTCAGAGGCTGCCTTCCTAGTCTTTTGGAGCTCCATCGGAGTCTCATCCAAAAACGAACAACAAAGCTTGCAATACACACGGTGAACAGACCTGGAAGAACCTCGAAAATCGGTGTCCGAGTGCGGGCAATCGTCATATGCAAACTTCGGGGCTTGATCTCTACGCTCGGTGGTGGAGTTCCCACTGACAAGGCATGTCTTCTTGATGGTGTATGCTGTGCTCCCTTGTTTGGTGAACTCGGAACAATTCTTGCATTTCTCCTTCGGTGGATATGGTGGTTTCTTCCTTGAGGACCCTTTTGGGATTGGCTGCAATGACGATGAAGAAGAAGCACCACCAACCTTCCTGAAAACTGAAGCTCCCCTGTATTCAAAATGCTGATCAACCCACGTGACGAAAGCCGAAGCGATTGGACTCTTGCCATTCTTGATGGCCCATTGATGGTAGTCAGGATGTTCATGAAGGATCTGCCAAAATGTCTTCCCCCTGAACTGTCCAGCTAAGAACTTCCTATCGCTCCCCTCAGGCCTTACGAGGTCGTTGGGACTCACTGGTGCCTCCGGACGAACTCCTGAGCTGGCCTTCACGGCCATGTGAGCAACGCTGTCGGTTGGAGACGCCGCACCTAGAAAAATCCCTTCGTCCTCGGATGAATCACTCATGTGGGCAATGTGTGCAGCAGGTTTCGGGGCTGATCCAGTCTTCGGGGCATTGGGCATCTTACATTGGGGGTCTCCGGCCCAGTGACCTAAACCACCACAACGAAGACACTTGGATTTTGCCTTGATCTCGGACAGTTTCTGTCGACGTTGTTCGATGCTAAGGTGAGACTTCACTATCTTACCTTTACCTTTACCTTTCCCCTTGAATTTATCCTTGCCTTTGCCTTTTGCCTTCCCGAAAGCGACGAATGCGGCAAGCTGCATTTGGATAGCATATGACCTGAGGAACGTTCTTCGGCATCTTCGCAATCAACTACTGCATTCAAGGCAATTGCTTCATATTCATCAACATCATCATGATACTCAAAATCTTCGTATTCAGGATGGCTAGCATGTTCATGTTCTTCAGACTCTTCAACCCCTCCTAGCATGCCTACGAAAGAATCTTCTTCATGATGATGCTCCTGCAAGTCCTCATCTCTCCAATCGAAATTGTCTTCCCAATCGGGATAGACGGCATTGTAACCAGCACGTGGGTATTGGCTACCTTTGCCTTTACCTTGGTACCCCTTCTGGTACCCTTTGCCTTTGCCTACCTGAGGCTGAATTCCCCGTCCTGTCCAGGATCGGGACCCTTCACGAAGATGGATTCCACTGTAGTTGTCAACCAGGACTCGTGCAGTACCTTCGAAGTCATCGTTCTTGCGACAAGCCTTCACCACGAGGATCTCCTGCCTAGAGATACCTGACATCTCCAACAACAGCTCCGTGCGGAAAGCTTCTGAGATCATCATTGTGGGGTCAAGCTCAACCAACAAGGTCCACCAACGTCGTCGACGTTGAGTGTACGACAACATGCTCTCTGTAGGCTGTCTCGACAGTGGTCCTCCATGCTTCTGTCCTGCGCGAAAAAGCTCCTTACTCTCCTCCAAGGCTCGAGGAAACACATGGTTACGTATCACCTCGATGAGACGCTCCAGTCCCCCTGGACGTGCGAGTGTCTCTAGACCTAAGTCTCTGGCAAGCAAAAAGGCATCACCTCTCAAACCTTCTACGATCTTGTTCACTAGGACACTGCGATCGATGATACTCGACTTGTCTGACTTAACGGACGAAGCCTTCGGTGATGTTGCATCAACCTTCGACTTGGGAGTACCGGCAGTCTCACGCGGCTCGGGCTCAAACTCCTCGGGATAGTGTCCAGGCGAAGGGAATGCGAATCCTTCGTCTGACTCTGGTGGCCAAGGCTCCCCTTCGTCGGCAGGTCCAGTCACGGGATCCTGCTTCTTTGCTGGTTGCGTTTGAGCTTGGTCGTACAGCTTGATGCGGAGTTCGGTTCGAAATTTCCAATCATGGAATGATGCAGGATCTCCCCAATAGATGTAAGACCCACTCTTGGTTTCCAGGGGGTTGCCTATTCTATCACCAGTGCTACCCGAATGGAACTTGAGTCCAGCAATGGACATGTTCGACGATTCCGACGGAGATTGCTCCGGCGAGCAATCTATTCCGGGCTCTGTCCCCAACGGGATCAGAGGAGGCAAGCGAAAGCACGCAAGGAATGCAAGCTCAGGCTTGATGTTCTACGATTCCAATGACCTGGATCAGTACGTGCCGGAGTCAGGCCGTCACCTGCTCCGCTACCAATGTCGGTAGCAACCGGAATCGTACTGTCCACACGCTCTTTTCACTGCGAAAGCGAGCACGGTATAGCTCAAGGGCCCTAGGAGCCAAACGGCGGCAGACACAACATAGTGTGACAACCTGGCTCAACAGAATGAGATCCTACCTCAAATTCACACTTGTTAATCTCAAGTGATGCAGGATATCGTACCTCCAGTCCATTCATGTTGAGGATGTTCCGTAAATGCCGATCGGTGGCCTTGGGTGATCTTTAGGTCCCTCCTCTTGAAACCTACTCACATCTCCTCAAAGAAACCGAAGTCACGCAGTCTCTTGTGACAATCTCGGATGATGGAGCTTGGGAGCTCTCTCTTGTCATGGGCAAAGCACATATGTTTCTATCAAGCGTATTCAGGAGCCCCTGATTCAGGTCACGGCCCTCTGGCTGAGAAGTGGTATAGGCAGCTGGAAACAACAGAACAAAAGTTCTTCACGTTTTCTTTTCAGGGCGAGGCCCCGAAAAACCGGGAAAGCAAAGCCGACGCCTTCCTTCTGTTTGTAAGCTGGCGGGGAAAAAACAAAGGCTCTTCGAAGATCACCGACGAATGGATGGTTCAATGAATGGAGCGACCGACTCTCTCAACCGTCCAGAGCCCATGCCTTGGGAGCTGGCTCGGCGCCTTCAAATTCAGTTGGGTGTCAGAGAAGTACTTCCTCGCAGGGCTTCCAGGGCTTCCAGCAGGAGTGGATTTTTGTCCATACCAGTGAGGGAGTTCCTTTCGGCGTAGGCAGGGGATGAGACTGCCAGAAAGTGGCAGAAATCCCAAGAAGCTATTCAGTTCACTTCGTCAAAAACACACAAAAACAACCAAACCACCCCGGATGACCTTGGCATGCACCCCAATCAATGCGCTGTCACTCTCGCAGCTGGAGGGATTAACGACTTCGTCCACAGGAACAAAAACAGGGCAAAGCAGGTGGTAAGTCATGGATCTGCAAAACCCCGTTCGGGCGAGTTCGGAATGTTCGGCTGGTATTTAACCTTTTGGTATCTTTTGGTATAGAACTGTACATGCCAAATTGTGGAGAACCCTACTGTACCTAATCACCTTGCAAACATCCAAGCACGTCCATCTGTCTTTGGATTTCACGTGGAGCCGCCTAGAAAGCGCCAGCCAAAGGCTTCGTAGGTTGAATGGTCTATGCCACCTACTCTACAGGTAGGTTCCACCATCTTTGTCCACTCAGGCTTGTCCGAGAAGAAATGGCGGTCTCTCTGGTGTTGTCAAGATGTCACGTCTACCAAATGGTTGACGTCTGTGCTAGACCGAACCACGTTAGGCCAGCCCCGTCCAGGGCCAACTTCGATTCAGGAAGAACCGCAGCACTTCGATTCGATTCGTTTGGATCGCCCGGTGCAGTGCATGTCGGAAGGGAATCCGGAATTAACAAAACGCATGGCATACACTTCTCGCTCCATCGTACCCTGGATCAAGTTGGCAACTCTTTCATCATGTTCAGGTCAAATTTAATGTATTGTGACTCCAAGAACATAACAGCTTGGGGTCCAAGGGTCGGAGAGTAGGCCAAGGGATGTCTGGCTGTTCGAAGAACTGTGTCAAGCGCATGACATTCACCTGGTCGGTCATTGAACGTCAACCTCTCCACTTGACGTTCTCCCTGATCCTCCTAGGTCCTACTTCATGAGACATCTCGATGTGACAGCCGTTCACCATGTTCACCTATCCAAGCCGTTCCAGCATCAAAGTCGAGTATGTATGCAGTCCAGTCATGATTCAAATGGATCACGCCCACCCAAAAGGTGTGTTGAACCAAATAAACGCCTCCAGTGAACAAAGGGAGGCCGACCCGTCCACCTCCCGCCCGTGCCCACTCGGCCTTCTGTGACACAAAAAAAGGAGGAACAATCAGTTGCTGTTTGATATTGGATTTAGTAGATAACATAGAGCATAAGGATATTGTGGTGCTAGTCATGCTACAGCGGGCAACATTAAAGCAACCGCTGTGAAGGTCTCCATCTCACCGTTTGTTCGATCTGTTCCATCGCCCTGCAGCTGCAAGGTCCCTAAAAAGCTCAAGATTGGAGGCTCTTGGCTTCAAAAATGATATTTTGTGGCAAATGCAACAGGCTTTGATCTACACTCCAGCTGTTCCTCCAACTGGCCCCGCTGCATCCAGCATGCCAACCTCGGCTGCATCAAACTGCCACCCAAGGTACAACGCCAGCCCACTGATGTGACCAGCCATCTGCCTCTACGAGGATGGCCACCACTTTGATCGAGGGCTCCTCAGACTCCAACAGAGGTTGCCCTGTTGTGAAGCATGGCACAACTGTTTTGGTTGAGGAAGAGCTTACAAAAACTGTTTTGGAACAAAGACTTGGTTTGCGCACTGCAGTCGCAGCAGTTGCGATGCCACAACCACTTGCCGCATACAAGTAGTTGGCATAGTTGCGCTTTAAAGGTGTTGCTTGGAAGGAGGCCCGGGCCTTCAATGCTACCAGAAATGCAGGCACTGGCGCCTCAAACAACACCTGCATCCATTTCATATTGCCTTCATTTGCCTTCCCCCTCATCGGCCCAAACGGAGTGAGCACACCCTCTCTTGGAGCTCAGAAAAAACCTCTTTCAGACGCAGAAGTCCCCAGCTTTTGACCCAAAGCTGCTTCCGAGTGCCAGTTGAATAGCAACCCTACGAGACGATACTTCTTGTGGCTTTTCTCCGTCATGCTCCTCCGAAAACCTCTCACACCAACTACGTTGACTTCAATCATGCATAGATGGAAGCCTGCGAATCTCGCGCACCGCCGAAATGGCCTTCTGACAATCTGCTGGACTATGGCCTTATTCTGCAGCAGTCAGACCTAAAGTCAGACCTAAATTGTCGGAAACGACAAAGACGAGCAAGATCCAGCTGTGCCCGGCTTCCACGACCCACTGAGGTGGCTTGAGGTGGCTTCGCCTTGGTACCACTTCTTGGTTCGCCCACTGATTTGGATCCAAGGCTCTGAGAGCAAATAAGCTATGGCCATCATGTCATCAACATCTACATCTGTGCTGATGATCACAGGCACTCTCCTCTGCCAGTTGAGCATTCAAATGTCAAGGCATTCGACAAGCAACCGAACAACCTCTACCGGGGTTTGTTCAATAGGCTCTATAGAGGCAACCCGTGCATTGGATCATAACGATGCATGCTTTAAAGGATCTGTTTCGGCAAGCAAATTTATGGCGGCTTTATATTTGGGTCGCAGGTGCCTTAAGTTGAAGGGATCCCCCAAGTCAAGAACAGGACAACAGCTTCCGGAAGGTCAAGATGACACTTCCACCTACCTAACAGTGAGGCCACTATCAGAGAACCCTAAACCCAGAACCATGTGAGGTCTCATCGATCACGTGTGGATCACGTACACTCCCATGTGGAGTTCACTCTGTTGATTGATTTATAAAGCCATGTCATCCACTTCCATGTTAATGGCTCCAAGATGGTCTGAAGTGAATCAGCTCATGTTCTCCACCCCCGGTGCTCCTGGCAGTGTGAGCAGTGCGAGCTGCGCTCACAGGCGCAGGCCGTGAGACTTGTTGCTGCAGCAGGCATTCCTCGTCCGCCAAGACAGCGCGGAACGCCACGAGGGCGATGATCGCCAGGAGCGCCATGGCGAGGTGGCGAGTCCAACTTGCAGCCAAATGGACTTCAGGCGATCAATCAATGAAACATCCCAAAGCAAAGATACCAATTCTTCTTGGGTTTCAATTGGCAATTGGACAACTGTCGAATGCGTTCTTTCCCAGAACATTGACAAACAACACCAACACTTGACGAAAAAGTCTCAGCTCAACTTGGACGAAAAGAAAACCACCGCCTTGGAGATCATCTGTCCCATCTTCTCATCACCGCCCACCGACACCGTCGCGATGTCTGTCGCATGCGTCGGGTATTTCGCAGGACCAGCAGGACCGGCGATGCGTCGGACAGGGCTCGAACGCAGTGACAGGGCGGCTCGAACGCAAAACGCAGTGAATGGATTTGGTAAGAGGATTTTGGGGTTCCAGATGATCTGGAATCTGTGATGGTCTGGTCTTGAACACTGGAAGAGGGAAAGTCAGGCTGGGTTCTGAAATATGTTCTGGACACACATTTATTGTTACATACAAGTTGGACAACGGAACCTGCAACCAGCATATGATGCTGCATATAAAGCACTTTGGGTCAAGGAGCAGCATGTTATTTGACCAAATACAGCTCCCTCAGTATTATAATGTATTATATTGCCTATAAAGGGACACACATCTTGGTCTTACCTTGTTGTTGTTCTTCTTTGGTGCTTTCCTCCCGCTTTCCTCCTCGAGCTGCTCCGCAGCAAACGTTATACTAGGCGTCCTTTTCTGTCCATTGATTGCTAAACTTCGCAAACTTATTCTTACAACAAACAGATCTGCTTGGCGGTTTTCGAAGATCACAAACAACAAGCATGCCTTTAAGCTTAAAACTCCTTTGTGCCTCACCTTCAGGTCGTTTCACCACTTTTTCTTGTTCACTTACTTTCTCAGCAACGCAAAGCTTCGACAAAGGAAAGCAATCCGATCGCTGACTGAAAACTGCATGCTACTCTGCCATCCATTGCTGGGTTCACTGCATCCTGCCAAAGCTTCCAAGAGCTCTCGACTTCTGAAAACCGACCTCCCGCTTTCCTCGTCGCTCCACCGAAACCCGCGACGTCCTCATCGCGAAAACACCGAAACTCGTCGCCTTTGAGGTCCCCAGACTCCACAGGCTTCGCCAACTTCTCCACCTGTGGAACATGGGTGGAAAAGGAGGGCGACCGAGGCTTGGTCGGTGGTTTGCGCGTCACAAGCACCTGAGGAACTCAACATGGCACAAGATGTGCGGTTTGAGATGGTTTCAGGTTTAGTCTTAAAGTGCAAGGGCGGTTACTCGCAAAAAGAGCGGGAAAATATTGACTTCGAATCTTCGAAGACTTGGTCAGGCCCTCACATAACTGAACAGGTCTGAACAAATTGGGGCAAAAGTTGGCATCGTATGACAGGTGTTGGCCTTCACACATGAGAAAAAACATGGGAACCACATGTAGGGAGTTGCACCATCTACGTTCGCCCTGGTGTGACAAACACATACCATGGAAGTTCAAACCAAGCACCAAACAAATCAACTTGGTCTCCATTTGATGGAACACCAAGTCAAGCGCCAATAAAGTTCACACTGAAACTGAATGTTCAAGAAGTTCCGCTTCAGTCACCAGCCGAAAGGACTAATCTGTATGTGGCTGTGGGACAAACCCTAAACACCTAGAACTATGGAAACATGGTAGAAGCCGTGTTTACGCACGCGGAATCTCGCCTCCTTGGCAATGAAAGAGGAAGCAGCCTCTCAGCTGGGAGAACCCTCAAAATCATGCTCAAATTAAAAGCATTGATGGGATTGCATCTCATCAACATCCAGTTCAAAAGCATCTATCTGTTTAGAGGCTGCGGCATTGATAGACCATGCGTATGGCCAAAATTAAATTGGAAGTTGAAACAAAAATTGTTCTAACTAACTAGTTAAACTAAGGCACACACACACAAGATCGACACCTTCCATGCGGCGATATAAAGCCCATGTCATAAGAACCAAGTTGACCAATGTAACAGCTCTGACATGTGGGCTGTTGGTTTTCTGGGCGAACGCAGCAGCATACTTGAAAGGCACCATCAACCAGGTACTGCAACAGTGGTGAAAGGCATTATGAACCCTGTCCCCATGTGATGAGGATCCAGTTTCATGGATTTGTAACTCAGCGAACCCGCTCTGGCGCCTTCATGCCTTTCTGCATGAGCACCGGGTTGTAACCACTGCTGACCAGCTGCATGCCCTGCGCGGCTGAGGGGGAGCGGATTTGAACACCTTGGCACCACTTGCTAACCATAGGAATGGTCCACGGACCATCGTGAATCATTTCCACAGTCAGTGCCATTCCGTGCCTGAGGAAAGGACAACAACTCTCCAACCTGAAAAGAGGGCCCTCCTGGTCCTCCGCTTGTTGAGCTCTTTGACTGGTGAAGGCAGTTTGGACTTGCTACAAAAAAGCAGGTGGCAACAAAAAAGCTCGCAAAAGAAGCAGGTGGCCACGGACAAGCGATGAATTGACATGATATGATCTTCCTCTCATTGAGGGCTACTGGAGTGACACAAAAGGAGACGCCGGCGAAAAGGCGACTTCGGAAAAGCGCCGGTTCCTTTTCCCCGCCTCGTTCACCATCTCCTGGCCGTGGTGGCGATTCGGGCGCTGTCCCAGACACTCCATGGGACTGCCATATATATATATATATGCCGATCAATTGGGGTGGTTCCAGGGGTCAATGTAGGCAAATATGGCATACATGGAGTGTCTGGTTGTGGCCACTTCGGTGTTTATTTCAGGTCGCCCGCTTCCGCTGTGGTTGCAAGCGTCGATGGTTCATTTCGACTAAAGAGATCCGTCGATCGCCACAGTCTACGGGTGAGGGTGTCGCCCTAGTACGTGAAGCTACACACCCATCATCACCCATATGATCTTAGTCACCTGTTCCTTTGTTTTGGTGACAACACACGGCACCCACAGTGGTTGGACTCCATGGACTCATGGGTCCGGGCCACCTCAAGGAATGTGGATTCCAACAAAGGTTCAGTGACCTGAACTAGGACCCTACCAGGGTACCTATGGGATAGCCTATAGGGTTCTGAAAACCTCTGTTGCTTCTCAGCGGCTGGCGGATGGAGGGCGACTTCCACACGAACTCCACGGCAACACGACACCAGGACCTTTCGAGCAACCAGTACCGGGCAAGCAGTGTCCAGTACCGGCCGACCACCTGGGACACATCTTCGAGGCCACACCAAATGCAAAACGAAGTCTCCCAAGCTGCACCAATACTGTTCTTTTCGGATGTCTCACCCCCCAAAACAGCCGCATGGGCGCCCTAAACCCTGATTTTTGTTGGTGAACACATGTGAACAAAAACAACAGACTCCCCTTGCTGTGACACCACCGGTTCCTGAGTCAAAACGGCAGCGCTGGTGGTCCCATCTCCAGCATTGGACTCGGACTTCGCCGAAGCCTGGAGGGCGGCGGAGGGGAAGCGCGCATTAAGCGCCTGGTGATCTGGTGAAGGTGATCATAGTAAAGAACAGCATCAAAACCCAACGTAGGCGATCTGGTGTTCAGGCCTCTTTGATTTACTCTCTATACTGGGTTTTTCAATAGCATCTATAATAGCAATGGCCTCCAACCCAAGAGCGATGGTCTGGGATAAGAGATTTCAGAAAGGAGTTTGAGAGTCATTGAACATGGTACCACCGGTGCACATAGACACTGACACTAAGAATCGCCCAATTATACACCATCATTCTTCAAGATTCTACTGGATCTGTCACGCCCCTGGTGCGAGGTCGCCGTCACTCCATGTCGCTCCGTCACCCGAAGCGGGAGTGGACCATCGGACCATCTCTCACTCTCCAAAAGGGTCCCGCTGGGGTCCGAGGCATGGAAGACGGCAGGAAGAGGGAATGGCTCAAGACATCTCAAGAACGAATACCCCATCATTCTGCTTCCCCCCTCTGAGGTGCCTGAGTGAGAAGCTTCACACCCAGGTTCATCTCCTTGTCCTGCATTTGTCAAAGCAAGAAACGGTGGCCAGGGCCTAGGAAAGCTGGATAGGGGCACAACACAGCCAACTCACCCCTGCGCGGCCCGAAAAGAGAGAATGGAACGCATGGCCAGGCCCTCGCCCGTCCATCGACATGGAAGTCAGGCCGCCAGGCCCTCTTTGTTGGGGGACAATAGACGGTCTATCAAAAGTCTTTTGCCTAAAACCGTTGTTAAATCGGAATTCCATGCGTGCCGCTTCATTTGCCAGGAGAAAAGGGTAATATATCTCTCATCTTGTGAAAGCGATTGGAAAAGCATAATCCTGTCCAAAAGATAAGAGGCCTCACGAAATTGCTAACGACCTCTGCAGAATGGCTAGCGTTGCCTCGCAGAATTACTGATTTTAGCTGCGTGCCGCCTCTGACTCTTAACCAAAAACACCAAAGATACCCCGATGTAATTTCTCAACCAGCTAAACTAAAGTGGCTGCACACTAATTGTGGCGACTGGTAATTAGTCTTCCAAGGGGCCATTTCTTCCACTCCAGTGTAAAATGGCCTAAGGATGCCTATAAGGAGGCTTCTTGAGAGATCCCCCTCCCTCCGTGCCGCCACCGAAGCGTGGGCGGCCGAAGCGTGAAGAAGACCTACCTTTTTGCAAGTCGCCCTCAATTCGAAGCATCCCCGGACACGGGCATTCCCTGTTTGGGAATGGTTTGAAACTCATGTCGCTTCAATCTCGGGTCTTTTGAAAACAAACTTCTTATACGAGAACATATAATAATAGATCTCTTGCAATCGTTCTCGAACTCTACGAGGAAATCTCTGCTTCTTTTTTTCTGAAGTCTTAAGGACGCTACTAGCCATGGCTATTAGGTTGGAAGCCCATTGCTACGAACGGAACAAGGACACTACCTGACTGGCGCGTCCTGCAGGGTGATCGCTCGCGCGATGGTCACGCCGTCGTTCACGATCTGAGGCACCTGGCGGACCGTAATCTGGTCCGGTGGGGGGCAAAACTAGGGGCTCCTGGCATCGCTACTATAGGAGCAAGGACGCTACTAGGGCCTCCTGGCCGTACTACTAGGAGCAACTATAGCTACTAGGAACACGAAGTTTCACTTTTAAAGAAAATGCTGTCTGCACTGCTCACCCGCACGAGGAGAAGAAGCTGACGCTTCGCAAGTCAGTCAGAGATAAAGAAAATGCTGTGTCTGTCATTGAAACGGGTTGTTTTGTGTCCAAGAAAAAATACACTTCGCATTGGCTTATATAGTCATTTGCTTCTCAGCCAGGCTGTGCCACCAGTTTGGAGATGATCACCACTTCTGCCAGCGAAGCTCGGCCCAGACTCTGCCTTTGCTCTAGCTCGACCACTTTGTGACAACTAACAGAAACAAAGTCTGGATTTGTTCCTAGTAGCTTCTTGTTACTAGTAGTAAGGCCAGGAGCTACTAGTAGCGTCCTTGCTCCGTTCGAGTAGCGATGCCCGTCCTTGCTCCGTTCGTAGCGTGGAAAGGTCAATCGGAAGGTCGGACCTGAGTCCTACCCACCTGAAAAGCACGACCGACCCCCTGGTACATACAGGGATATGCTGGCGGATTTCTCTGGTCATCCAAACACTTTAACCGTCGGAGCGTGGAACCTATAGTATCCTATAGTTGTTGCAGAGCTCCAAAGTCAAATATGCCCACTCACAATTCAAGAACGTCATGCCAGTCCTGCTATTGGAGGATGTAGAACAGCATGCCAGCGACATACCCCTGAATGCCCTAGCCGATTCCAAGGACTTTGTCAAAGATCTTTCCGAAACCATGTTCCAACATGAACACCTCATCTCCTCTCCTGATATTATATATATATACAATACATCACTGTATTAAACACAACAAAGTTCAACAAAGCAACAATTGGACTGTTCATACCCACTACTGTAAGTCCAAAGCTATCAAGATTCAGAAGTTCCAGAGCCAGGAACGGTATGAGTCCTGGTGATGATCCAACTTGATCCAACCTGAACACCAGCCGATCACAGCCCGATACCTGAAAAGATTCCCGCTGAAGCACCACATTGCCTTGGAGCTCTTGGATGTGACCCTCGTTGGGAGGTAAACAAGTCATGAGTCATGCGACTTTCCAATGGCACTGGACCTTAGATCTAGCGAGATGGACCATGGCATAATGGAAGCCCTATTTTCCTATTCTACTGACCTTAGTCATCTCATCTTCGGCGCCTTCCTTGGCCGATCTTTCTGGGAACTTCGGAGCGCTCTGAGCTCATGTGGTACGCAGGCGGGTCACATGACTCTCGGATGTCAGGGGATCCTCTACTGATGAGCGCATCTCAGCACTGAAACAAGTTGCCAAACCCACATGCCAAAGGATTTTTCAATCCACAGAGACAACCCAATCTGGAGCCTCCACTCGACGCCGAAAAATCCACATGTGGCTTTCCAGTCAACCCCAACTCATGACCTCCCAAAGGACCACTTTATGAGCAAAACTTGATGTCCTGAAGGAAGCTAGGCATTTACAGTTTTGCCTGACCCAGCACCTCGACTTAAGGTCATGGGAAAACATTGCACAAAACCACGATGTCATGCCCATGTGGCTTGCATTTGGTGATGAGCAATTGGAAAACGGTATCGCTTCAGCCAAGTGTACGACCATTGGAAACAGGTTCCAAAACTCTTCGTACCAAGACGTTTCCTCAAGCATAGCATGCCGTGATGCCACTCTGGAAACATATCAATATGATGCACTAGCAGTATCTGGACAAAGAATTTCTCATGGCATAGCAGCCCATCAAAATGGCAGTTCAACTTTGAGCCGTCTACACCGTCTACAACGTCACTCCAAACACAAATTCACTCCAAACGACTCCATCAAGATCCGTCTACGGTCGAAAATCCCAGGCGATCTGCTACAGGCGATCCCTTCAGGACAACGATTGTATAGATTGGGTCGACATCTCAATCTCCCAGGGCCTGGTTGGAGGACGTGATGTGATGTTCTTGTTTACTGACGGGTCTATAAATGTAATAGGACAAGCCCAATGTATAGATCATTGGTGTTTTCAAATATTTGCACACCTGGACTCACCACCCGCAGCACGGGGCAAGTCATGGAGAGGCCTGTTCTCACTGGTGTGCGTGATCTGCATTGACGTGGGTAAAATCAACACGAACAAGAAGTAGTGTCGCAATATGTCACAATTACTGTGAAAAGAAGGGACTGTATGTACGGCCAGGACTCATGGTTGGCCCCTAGAGGCTTCGAGCGGGCACTCCATTCTGTTTCAGAGACTGTGGGTGTCGGCCAGGCGTTTTGCATCGAGTTGAGCGATCGAACGCCCCAGATGTTCGACACTTTCACTCTGAACGAAGGTCCAACGAAGGTCCAGAACGAAGGTCTCCGATGGTCTCCGATGGTCTCGACGTCCATCTTTCTGAGGCCCCGACGTCCCTTGGGTCCCAAAGTCACTTTCACCGCGTTGGCCACGGCATTGATGCCGCCCTGCAGCCTGAGAACACATGGATTCCCACACGGATTCCCACACGGGCATTCGCGCTGCACGCACTGCTGATGCAAAGCACCAGCCACTGAAAACGGCTTCTCCGGACGGGTTTGGGGCAACGCTCTTTGACTCTTTGTGTAGCAGGAACCCAAGGATAATATTCGTTGCAATGATCTTGCGGGGGTATCTGTCAATGCTCTCCAGACTCAGCACCATATTCTATTTTCGTGAGCATCCAAGTCTCTTTGCTCTCACGGCATCTCACCATGAATGAGTCTCCCCCAGCAGCACGAGACACACTGCGGTGCACTACGGGCGAGAGGCTTCTGCTGGCCAGCTTCCCGAAAGGAGATTTTCTTTGCTGCCTGGAACAGGAGAGATCTGTGCTCCGGTTAGTCTATAGCGGCTAGCGCCCGTCAGGGTCGCCTTGACCGTATGTCCGATTTTTTCACCACAGCCTTTTTGCAGCTTCCAAGGCACTAGATTTGATGGGCTCAAGTGAGAGAAATGGTAGTTGGAGCAGGAGAAAGGTAGGGGCTCGTACATTGAGTTTCAGTCTACTTAAGCCGATACAAGCAACAAAAAGGCTTTTTTGACCTAGGTTTGACCTGGCCTGGGCTGGACCCTTGCCATCCACCAAACACTTGGAATCTAATGCAACTTTGGCCACCTACAAACCCACCATGCACTTGACATCGGCCGGGGTTTTGAGGCGATGGCAAGAAAACAATTTCAAGTCACCAAACAATGCACTGACATGGCCTTATCAACCCTGACATCATATAACATACTGTATAATTAAAGAGAATATCTGAAAAACTCCTGAGTCCTGAGTATCCACTTGCAAACCTCCACCTTTTCAGTCATAATGCAGCGTGCTTTCCCTGTGCGAAAGAACCTCACGGGCGATGATGCTTCTTCTTGCTTCGGAGGATGGGTTGCCTGGAGCAAAACATGGTGAAAGGTCCGATCAGATCGACGAACAGGCGCAAGGCCTGGTCGGTGAACGAAGGCGCCACATCTTAACAAGAGCGTATTCCTTGGAGTTATTCCTTGGCGCCAATCGCTTCTGTAACTACAGGGCGGCTGGAAGGTTGGACGGTCCACCCGAAAACGATTCAAGTGGTTTGGAAACACCCACGAACCACGGGCCAATCAAAGCAACCCAAACGAATCCTGGTTGCACGGAGGTCTGGAAGCTTTCAGCTGGAATGAAGCAGTCGTCTCAAGTCGGAAGGAGGTGTTGTTGTCTTTGTTGGCTCTATGTGGCTCCATGCTTCTTCCGGCTGGTGGGTTGCTTTATGTTGCAGAATATCCACGGCTGGAGCTGCCGCAGCGCATCTTCTGAAACCAAGGTTTCCCCATCCTGGCAAAAGAACCACTGAAGTTACAAGAACCATAGCAATTTCATGAACAGCTATTCGAAGGGACGACCTGCTTTTCTTCAGTTGTTGTCCAGAGCAACCAATCTGGACAAAGCATCAACGAACCATTGCACCTTGGACCCCAATCGGCATGGAACCCGCAGTGAAGCAAAAGAACTAAAACCACTGGTCACATGGGCCATGTTGCTCACCAGGCCTATCGAAGCAAACCATCGGAGCGACCGCCGGCCTACAAAATTGCTCTGCCAGCTCGCCACTGCCTCTGGTTGGAAAACACCGGATAGGTGCGCTGAACTAGCCGTGTGTGAGGATGTCAGGGTCCGGTGAAGTATGCCAGGCAAAACAGGACTTGTTTCAATCCAGCTAGTTGGTACCAAAAGTGTGGGGCGACATCAATCAACTGCTGGTCACTACAGTAGCATGGGACTACTAGCCAAATATGTGTCTGTGCAATGTGTCGCATGGAATATCCATGCATAACGTCCAAGGCCCATTGGTGAAAACCAGGGAATCCAAAAGGCCACCCTCCAAGTCATTGCCTCGCTAAACTTGTTCTTTTAGAATAGGAATTAGGAACACCACGTTCTACTTGGCCCCATGAAATCGTAAATGATGGCAGATGTGTTCATACTCTGCAGTGGTGTGTTTATAAAGAGAAACAACGAGGATTTTGAGTGAAATCGCAGCTGTTCTGGGTGGTTTTGAAGCAGAGTGATCGACATTGAGAGCAAGGAAACTGCAGGCAATGGAGCCACCCTTCAGACCTGACTAATTTGCCGTACATTGACGTTGCCACTCTTGTTGCACAAGAAAAGAGCTGGGAGCTCTCACTGCTGCGGAAGAAATGAGCCACGATTTCATGGAAATGGCAGTGCAACTGTGATGCAATATCGCGCAAAAGATTACAGGGAGATCATGAAATTGCCAGTTGAAAACGCCATCTGATCACTTTCGGCGGGGAATGACACATGACCATGTATGCATACCGGCCGTGATACGGGCACAATCAACATTTATGAGATGGACATGGGATCTCAGATGCTGGAATCCTGAAGCCCTTGAACTTTGAGGTTAAATGTTGGCTGTGTAGCACAGGCATCGCTACATTCGATGCATTGGTCTACTGTGAGCGATGCGAACAGCCATTGGGCACCACAAGCCAAGTCTGGAGAACTATCATCGACGATGGTGCCCCGTGGCACGTTTCTGCATGGCTGAGGAGGGTGCTTGGTACTTGGAACCAGGCAGCCTTGAGTTCATCGTCTCCCTGAGCAAACCATAGCACTTTGGCCTTGGATGGCAAGCGGCTAAGCCAAGAACCGCATAGGAACTCATTTGCGCTTTGACCTTGCCTCCTAGACTTTGTCTGCGGCTATTTCCAAGCCGATCAAGCACGGCTCTTGGGATGTCTTGGGAGCCCCATGGACTCCAAGCCACGACAGCATGCGGTGAATGTTATGTTTCCAAGGCTGGAACCCTTCTTTAGGTCTGGACATGTTACGTTAGCGGCTCATTAGCGGCGGATAGCGGCAGATCACAGACTTCAGCTTTTTCCGGCTGCGCAGTCGTCCTAAATCATGTCCGCATCTGCACCAAACAAAGCTTCTGCCCGTGCGCGCTTTGCGCTTTCAGGGGCAGGGTCCCCAGCCGGCGAGCGCTTAGGGCTTTCTGCAAACTTAGTCAGCCTCGCCTTGGGAAAATCTTTGATTTCTCCTCGAGCTTCGCCTTCGAGAAACTCAACACGACACTTCTTGCTCAAAACTTGCACGACCTTTGCTTTCTTGTCATGCAAACGGTCTTTGTGAATGGATGAGATGGTTTTCACCACCTCACCCACAACAAACTCAGGCTGCACCGGCGCAGCTGTCTCACTGCCAGGCTTGCTCTCAGTGTCCTGCTGGGCATCCTTGTTGTCAGTTTGCTTGTTTCCCTTGGCCGCGGCTTCCTTGTCCTTCACGAGTTGTTCGTGGAACTGCCGCAGCAAGGCGCAGACTGGACCTTGGCCTTTAGACACCACCGCGAGACCAAAAGTGCGTAGCAAGGTCGCCATGGTTTCCTGTCGAGGGTGTTGGCGATGTTATAGAACTCGGTTTTTTAAAAACGACTACACAGCAAAACCCGGGAGCTGCGCTTCGAGCAGTCCTTATCGTCAAACTGGGACAATTCTTCTGGTAGAGAACTCTCAAAGAAAGGAGGCAAGGGCAACTTTAACGAGGCGCACTCTCGAAAGCAAGCTTCTAGAATGGCTGAAGCTTGTGGTCGATCACCAAGCAGTTTCTGAGCATTCTGGAAGGAGACAAGTAAACTGCGGGCTACGGGGTGCTGCACGAAGGTAACGCTGTGGGCCTCCACCAAAAGCTTCGATGCACAAGTGAAGTCTTGGCCTGACATGCCCTGAAAATCGCCCTCTTTGCTTGTAAAGGGCTTGAGGGCCACCATGTTGTGGTCAGGGCACCACTGATGAAGCAAGTCGAAGTGCATTGGCGTCTTCAGCAAATATTGCACCTTCGCACTGTCTTCCATGGGCCCAAAGAATGCCACTGCGAAGTGGAGGGCGTCCTTCAAGTCCCCCTCATAGTTCTCAAGCATTCCTCGTGCAAACTGTGCCCTGCATTCATCGCTCTGCTTCTGGTTCGACATACACTGTCGGATACGAGCTTCATTACGCAGAGACACAAACTCATTGTACATGGCACTTTTGAAGAGAAATGTCTTCTGCTGCAGGTCAGGGACAAATCATCCCACTTGACCTCTTGGTCGCTTTGGAGGTCCGCGGTGGACATCAAAATGACAGCCTCACCCAGCGGCGGCAAAAAGCCAGGCAGCTTGGACTTCAACTCCTGGCAAGCAGGCCCAGAATATATCCACTAACCGCCACTAATCGACATTAGATCGGCACTCATCGACACTAAACAATTCTGTTCAAGAGGCTTGTGGCCACTAAGCCGTCAATAATTCCTACAATCAACCACCCAACCATCCACCCGGTTTTTGGACCGGAGCTAGTCACAGGCTCCTCCCGCCTGCTCCCGATCATCGTTACGCCGTCTGCCTTGGATCGCTGTCTGTGTAACGAGGTTTGCCTGATGGCTGCTACAAACCCAAAACAATAGGGAATACCTGACACGCAAGCCGTTCTTCCTCTTCAAAGGCCCTAAAGAAGCCCACAGCCGCTTTGCCGCAGCAAGGTTGGCGCTCACAGAATCTGATGTAAGAAGATGAACAAACCTGAGTTGTTCCCAGTTGTCACTGCTTGCGCAAGAAATGCTCTGGTAAATCTCAATGACAACGTCAATGAGAGATTGACAAATAGTATCCGCATCTTTGCATGCCAGTGGTATCAATTCCGAAAAGAACTCTTGAAGAAAATCTGTCTGCCGCAGTGTGACAACATGAGTTTGTATTTTGCTGGACCGACCCCTCACAAGTCTGTCCACACTCAAAGGAGTGAAAGACCGCATGCGCATCAAAGCCTCATCATGGATATGGCAGCAAAAAAGGGGAATGGACTCTTTCCTTTCCTGATCTTTGCTCCACAGGCCACTTGCACTGAACAGGGACACACTGGTAGCCAAAGCCTGCCTAGAAATCTTCTTGATAATTTCACAAAAAGCATCACGCACAGGGCCGATATAAGATTTGCTGATTGCTTTGACCTCTTCTTCCGGGAAATCCCGGCAAAAACTCTCCAATGATTGCATTGATATCTTTGGATCAGCGAATGCGACTCGGACAAACCAAATTGACTCTATCCTGCCCGCAACCTTGCGAGCTTGTACCTCCGCCAAGCGTCGCCGCAGCAGAGCGCATTGGTTCTTCCAATATTGTCTTTGTTTCAGCAGCTTCCGCACGAAGCGGGAATCATGAAGTGTTGGCTCCTTCCGCCGTCCCATCTAGCATGATTTGCCAGCTACAAGTCTACATCTGTGCTGTGCCATGTGCCATCCTAGACCTTCCAACGGCTAAAATATTCTAGTACGATTGGGTTGTTGTATTAGTTTCTGATGCTTCGATGGAAAAAAATGGTAGTTGTCAGAAACGACTGATTTTTGCTTAGCGGTGTGATTTGGGTATGCTCCACAGATTTTGATCCGAGTAGCCATCACCGGCTATCACACATCTATATTTAGGGGATGACTTCCGTATTTATCAACCCATCCATCCATCAGCCATCCCATTGGACGCAGTGGAAGACGCCAATCATCATCGACCCGGCAAAGACCGACCTTCAAGTTTATTTTCTTTTTTCGGCCTTCTTGATGACGATAACTGGATTAATGCCCAGCTGCCGAGTGTCTTCATTTACCTTTATCATTATAATATAATGAACGGCTTCGAATTCCGGTGGAATTGCAAGATGCGATGCAGGATATGTACAAATACACTAAAAAACTGGCTACAGGGTTGCAATAAGTTCATCCTTGGCCAATGGCAGAGATGATTCGATATATAATAAATACATTGATGTCACCACGACAAAGGAGAAATTGATAAAAACATTTGTCTGTTCATGCCCAGGTTGTGACCTCTGAAGACCTACATGGAGTGGAAAGCACTTAATGTTATTCTGAGGTTTCGGAGACAGAATTTGATGAAAACCCACGACCAGTTTTACCCGCAAAACGCCCACAAAAACCCTCAAAACGCCATCAAAAACCTGCAAACGCCCACAAATCCCAGAAAGTAGGTCAAATGGGTTTTTGATTGTTTTTGGGAAACCTCTAAATTCGTTGAATTGCAACTCTTTTGGGCTGAATGTCATGAGTAGGATTGCCTGCTCCACTTGGACACTCTTTGGTCATAAGCTGTTCGGGAGAAAATGAGTGCCTAGTCATGTTTTCCTACGAGCATGATGTCGACATGAGTTCATTTGTTAGCAACAATGCAATTATGGTTCCTTTTGCATACTCGTATGTCATTACATGTCATTACCGTATCTAGTTTTGCTGCGCTCGAGCCTGCTCGTAATTCTTGGAGCTCTAGGCCAATGTCTGATCGACCAGGGATTAGTGAAAGCCGCTCTTTCTTAGAGGGGTATATCGACTGCTCAAGCGATGGCCAACCCAGCTGCACTTGATTTCGCCACAAGTTTTGTGCAAGCACAAGAGATCATACCTTTGAACTCCCGTGAAACCGACCAATCATCATCGTCATCATCATCATCATCCATCAGTCATCCATCAGTCATCCAGAGGCCACGGGGAGGGCAGTGTGTGACCATGCACGACCACTCTTTGTTTGAATCGTATGTGCTCGACCACTTTTCAACTGATCGTCACAATAAAGTAGTACAAACCACATCGACCAAAATATTTTGGGATTTTGAAGGTCTAGGATTGAACAAATCGGTGCATTCTGCCATTGGGAAAGTGCTATTGGTTACATGTTTGTAATCCTTTCCATGAACCAATTCTTGACATTTCTTCACTAGACCCATTGCATGATTCTTCTAAAAGAGTATTCTTTTATTCGCTTCTACCTGCCACTAACTGATCTTCACACAGCAGAAAAGATATGTGGCAAGACAGGACAAGGCTTCCATGATTGAATTCCTAATGAATGTCTTGGAGGCAAAGTTTTCTCGCAACTGATCTATGCAATGGAAGGACTTTTGTATCTCGGAAGTGCATTGCAATTGACTTGGACTGGCGGGTATAGAGGAGGTTACCACTGGCATGATCAAGAAGCCGTCGATGGCAATCAGTGGAAAACACGTGGAGAGGTTCTTCGGCAAGATTGCCAGGTTGAGGCTGAAGTGTGCAAAGAAACGCATCTCAAGGACAGGCAGCGAGTTCCCTGAGAATCGAGTTTGTTCAGGTGCCCAAGAGGAACTCTGTGCACGTTGGCCTTGAGTTGGATGGCAAGCGGCTGAGCCAAAAACTGAAGTCACATGACCAAGATGAAGTCTACACTTTGCCCTTGACCGCGCGCTAAATGGGACTTAATGTCACTTTGTTCTGGAGAAAATATATCTTGCAGGATCGGTGTGGAGGCATGGCGACGTAGAGCTCTGCAAGGACAGGCAGTCGATTGTCTCCCTGAGCATTTGTTCATGTGACTAAGAGCAACTCTGTGAAGTTTGACCTTGATTTGAGATCTCCCTAAGCAAACCCATGTTGTGCATGTTATAGGAGAGTTGTGAACAGTTGTTGCATGATGTTGGATGCATTCTTGCAGGATCTATGTGGCATCAGTGTGGTGATGTGGAGCTCGCTTGGACAAAAGAGTGCGAGCTCCGACAAACCAAGGGTACTCGAAAAACTTGATCGTTTGGGCATGTATGCGTTTAACTTGCACTTTGGACTTGCAGGGAGCTAAACATATTAATTATTATACATTTACATACAGTATGTGCATTGGTGAGACCCAACAAACACATGTTTCGCCTGGCGCTGGCGACGGGAACTGATCAATCATCCTTTCAATCCAGGGCGCCATCGCCAGCGCCAGCAGCATGAGCTGGGAGACTCGGCTCCGCCGTGCATGGCTGCGCGCCATAGCACCTGGTGGTCCATCTGGTGAAACATTGGTGGCTTGCTGGGCCATGCAAGTACACGGATATTTTTGAGGTATGAGAGACAGCACCGCCAAATGTTGAAACTCCTCCTTGCCAACGAGTGTCCGAAAATCCAACAAGTTCACTACTATGCCAGAATGGTTTTCTGGCGGCGGTCAGGGGGAATGGTATGGATGGTGGGGGTAAACCGTGACGTCGATATGGATATGAACAAAACAGGAACGCTGCATGTATGATCATGCTTCACATCTGGATGGCAAGATTTGTCTTGTATAGAGAGAAGGGGATCATCGACAAATGGGTCAACGTATTGTCGAAGGATAGTGTAGTTCAATTTGAAACAAAGTGACCGCAGTGCAAAGTGAAATTCACTGATATTTGCGAGGAGACACGGTGTAGCACACCGTGTGCAAACCTTCGTTTTCCTTTTTCCTCCAGGTGGTGCAGGATGTCTCCCCTCAGTATGACCCTACAATCCATCGCCATAAACTCACACCTAGAACAGGGCTATTGGTTCATCACCAGGACATCACCGGAAAACCTCGCCAAATCTGAAATCTGTGCAAAGTCATCTCAAGATATTGATTAATATGTATGTATAATTATGTATATATAAATAGAACCTAAACACAAGAATATATAGTCATCCTGAAGTCGATAGAATAATTTTGGGGACCTCCACAGGAAAGTCGTCATATTCTATCGACTCTAGGATTGATACTTATCAGTATTTATCTGATCTATCTATCTACATACCTATACCGTATACATATCTACCTATATCTACCTGCCTGCCTACCTGCCTGCCTAGCTATCTATCTTTTGGGCCCTTCCAGCCTATAGGAACCTCCTCAGCCCTCCTCGCTCGCTGAAACGCGCCCTCCTCGCTCACTCGCCTTCCTCGTCGGCACTGTGCCGTGGAGCGAGAGAGACCGCCGCTGGGTCCAGCACAGCTCCGCGGAGCGGCGGGGATCCGTCTGATCCGTCAAACAGGTGTCAGGGCTTGAGGAAGCTTGTTTGAACAAATCGAAGCGCAAACCCAAAGGCCTGGACCACTTGGAAGATGAATCTTGGGCATAAGCCAGGTGAAATGATCAAAAGCAGCCTGGCCAGTTTGGAAGAAATCTCAAATCTGTGGGAGCCTTGGAATCCGGCAACGTTCTTGTATACAGTATACACCCTTCCTATCTCCTCCTGTGTCCAAAATAAACGGCCTTGAAACCTCTTGAAACCAAACAGTAAGACTGTCTTAAGATAAGACATGCAGCGGCTTATTGGAAGGAGAGTGTCCATCAGTTGTCTGCCTCACTGGCAGTCCATGGTGAAGGTTGGTACGAACCAAAAGAGCGGTCATCTTTCTCTTTGATCGAGGGGTGTGACCTATAATAAGCAGTATGCTGGTTTCACTGGTGAAACAAGTTTTGATCTGCGCCTTTCTTCAACATCGCCAATCCCACAAGCGTCTGAATGTGTACACGAGAAGGCGATGGAGGATGGGGAGGACACTCCCAATTTGACAAGACCCTGAGAATCCTTGCTACGGTTATGATCTGTGATGAGACTCTATTCAGTGTCCATCTCTGTCATGTGGCTAAACTTGCTTGCCAAACTGTGCAGCTAAGGCCCAACCAGGTTCTTCCCACAAAAAGTGGGTTCAATTTCAAGTCCACGTGTGCCAAGCGTATCTAAGGGAGTTTTCATCGGTAATTGCTGTGAGTGGCCCAAAATACGTAAGAGTAAAAACTGACCAGAAAAGCCCATTCTGTCAGTTCCAGTCATCCATCGTGCGATCATCACGGTGGAAAATCTGAGGCAGTTTCACCTGGTACTCTTTCGGCTGCAAAGTTGTGACCCCAAAGACCACCAAGCGCTACGGACATTGGTGGCCAAAAGCTGCGCGTGAAAACCTAAAGCCTGTAGCCTTGGATGCGGAAGCGCATCCAGCATGGTGTGGTTTGGTGATTTGGTGCCAAAGACATGTCCCATTTAAGATAATTTTAACAAGGCCTATCGCCTATCAGGAGCCAAAAGCAATGTCACAAGCCACATGTTCGTGTTGACCTCAAAAGGTTTCTCAGGATCTCATGACTGAAACAAACATAAGTTCACTAGGGCAGCAGGTCTTGGGCACTGTAAGCTTGACAGGGGAACATTGGCTGATCAAAACTAAGACTCCTCGCTGGCTTGACACTTGGATACACTTGGTAATACTTGAAAAACATATGTAAACAGAAGCCTCCTTAATTATTAGTAGATGTATATACCCCAGACATTTACCTCCTTCATGTCGCCTCTATTATCGGTGAAATTCTCCTTGAAAGCATTCCTTGGGCCGGGATTCCCAAAACAACGGCTGGGCCCGACCTGCAGAAAACCCTTGCCGCATGGCGAGACGAATTCGGTGAAACGTGGCGGTTTCATCACATTGAAGGAAATTCGAGGATGGTCAACAACTGCCTGGACGGAGTGATGGAGAAAGAAAACACCCCTGGCCCAAAGGCAAGAGCGACAAAGGCTGCAAGGTTGAGAACCAAAAGGACGCAACTTCATGCTTCATTTTGGGGGGCAGTGGTTCAAGCCTATTGGCAACGAGTCTTGGTCCCTGGGCCCAATGGAGCCAACCATGGCCCTTGCTCGCCCGTAGACGACGCAAACCTCAAAAAGCTTCGCGGCGTGTTTCGATCTGAACACTGAGCATACCCTGAGTCCGGATTTGGAAAACAATTTACAGTAGCATTTGCGAAGGTTGATCCTTCGTTGTTTCTTTCTGGCAAGTAATTTTTGAACCAAAATCCAGTCGGAGCAGTTCCTGCCTTCGGACCAGTTAACCCGTGCGGGCGGTCAACGTCAAAGGGTTCTAAATTAATGGAACTCTATGACACGCTCATGTAGACATTCTTGGAGACCTGCAGGTAACAGCAACTGTCAAAACTGAATTAGAATTCATCCAAAAAACCAGTAAGTCCAGTCAGGGAATCCCCTCCCTCCGCAGGTTGATCAAAACAACCTGAAACCTTGCTGTTCCTAGTAGCTTCTCAGTTACTCTAGTAGTATGGCCTCAAACCTGCTAGGAGCGTCCTCTAGCTCCTAGTAGCCTGGCCGTCATAGCTTTGGATCCCTTGGGTCGAACGAGCACCCTCCGATTTCGACATATTTCGACGGTCTTGCAGAGGCGTCGGGGGATCGGTACCTCCAAAAAGAAGTCCTGTCTCAAATCCCAAGCCCAAAGCAAAAATCAAAAACAATATCTGGCAGAAGTTATGTTATACTGTATAAGTCTTGAAGATCAGAAGAATCTTTCGGCCAAGCGCCCCGCAAGTGCTGGCGGCCTTTTCTTTCTCCGCCGCGAGCGCACAAGAGCTTGGTGCCGGGACCATGAACGCCGCTCTAGGCCAGGGAACAGCAGGTGTGATTTGCGGACTCTTGGTGTCGATTTGAACAAACTTGCCTGCAAACGGACTCAACTGCTTTTGGAACCATCGAGCGAAGTGAACAATAAGGACTATTGTATAGACCACTTGGACTGATGATGTGATATGTCATATCAACGATTTGCGTCACTTCCTGCAACCAACCGCTGGAACATGATGGCCTGCTACGATGTGTCCAAACCACATCCACAGGCTGACATTGCTTTCCTTTCATACTGCGGCCTGTAGCGAACAACTATATAGGCATGATGTTCCAATTTTTGAGCGGACAACAGGTTTCAACTCTTGCGTTGCGCTGCTCCCTGTGCAGCTCCTGCTGCTGCCTGTGCTCCTTGCGCAAGGCGTTGCTTGGCGTCAGGAAGAGGCGGTGGGCTGTAGCAAAATAGGTGGCACATGCAGCAGCACAGGACTATGTTCACGATTCCGACAAAGTATGCAGCCGAACCCCCATGGAAGAGGACAAAGACTATGCCTTGGATCACACTGTGAAAGGCAAACGGAGGGAGTCATGACTCATGATGTACTTCTCCTGTGCACCCAGGTCTCAGAGGCTTGGGAGAATTGGTCGTCGCAAATATATTGGAGTTGCTCACCACATTGTAGACGACCCAAGTCTGTCTCCCCAACGTGTCCACTCCCAGAAGTTGGTCCCTGTATTTTGAGACAGACCCAGTCTGAGTTATATGTCTATCTATCTATCTATCTATCTATCCATCCATCCATCCATCCATCCATCCATCCATCCATCCATCCATC